TTCCTGAGGCTCTTCTGAAGTCTTACACGCCATCATCGCGCTAGGCAGCTTGCTTAACCACTTATTTGTCCTGTATGGAAGTGGTATTTAGAGAGCTGTTCAAGTGTGTGCGCAACTGCATACAGCTAACTGTAGTAAGCTGCCTTCGTGCGAGTGCAAACTCTACAGCTTTTACAACACTCAAGAACTAGTACACCTCGGGCGTTGGCAAAGCTGTTAGGGCTCTTGTTACGCCCCATATTGACCGTTTTTCGACTCGACAGCGTCCCTTATGCTATTTTTGTGGGTCACAGGCTGATCCATGGGATGAAGTCTCACCATTTGAACATGGACTGTGCCTTCAATGACGGCACGAACGGAAGAAATCATCCTCCCCATAATTGAGTTGTACTCTTCCACACCCCGCCGAAGAGTCTGCAGTGAGAGCAAACGCTTTCAGCATTTCGTTTGAGATCACACATCCACTTCGCCATGAGCGATATATTAACAGTTTTCTCCGTCCCACTTCGAGCTTCTATGCAATTGCTGCTTGAACTAAACGGCTATCCAAGCCTATCCTGAAATGTGACATTCAGCAACAGCCATGATGTGAAAAACTCGCAAAGTCGATCTTGTAAAAGAAATGCCAGTTTAGAGTATGGAATGTCCTCCAAGGTCCCCGACGCGTTTGGGAGTACGGGTTCTTCTCTGATAGCCCACACCGTTCACTAAATTGAGCTAGAGCTTCTATTCCATTGTTTCTTTCAGGAAATCCATATAGTCTCACGAAATTTTCTTCAGGTGTACCTCATCCCGAGTGGACCTTCATGTTCCAGCATACACAATGTGACTTGCTCTCAAAAGCAGGTGGCTTTTAGGCCGTCATATCGCTAGTAACTCCGTATAATTGTAGAATTCTCAACTTACTCGTTTAACTCAATTCAATTACAAGCAACGCTACTCTTCCCAAAAAAACTTCACAATATCCTCGATGTTGAGTGTGACGGTGCGAGAATCCAACTCCATCCACTTTTTCACTATTGGAGGCGAGAATCCCAAGCCTCAAAACCTACCACGTCCAAACGTGATCCAAAAACTTTATTGGGAGCGGCATTCGTTTATGGAGTTGTTGTGTCGGATTCACCAAGGCAGCCCTCGTCAGTGCACCGCGTTCCTAGACAATGAGTGTTCTATACTTACAAGGAAAGGATACTTGGTCGCAGTGGCCATTCAGGATGAGATATATGCCCTCGTAAGTGGCTTCGAACGCTGATTTCAAATATGTGTTACAAACATGCTAAACGATTCTGGGAACAAAGTTACGGGACCGAAGCCTCCTCTGTGTTATAACACTGCACTGAACGAATCACCTGACCGAGCAAAGCCGTTACTGTGCAACGTGGCCTAGCGAGTAGTGCAGTGGACCGAAAGGCATGACGTCAAGGTTCGATTCTATGATGCATGTGCTCGTTTTGCTTTTCCATAAAATGTGTCCTAAACGCTTGCTGAACGTTGTTTGGGCTCAACATTGACCATCTACGGAGCTATCTCACAGTTTAGAAATACCGGAAAGGTATTACAGGAAAAGATTTTTTTGCCGCTCACCTGCCCATTAAGGTGGAGCTCATCATAAGAGGAAGAAAGAGGAATCCTAAACAATCGCTCAAGGACTTCAGAGGATTCAAGGAGAATGGTTCCAAACGATTCATCGGATCAGACGCTTTTCAGCATGTTACCAGCGACATGTTCCTGCCGAAGGTGGTGTCATCGCATTCGAGCCAGGACTTTCGGCGCTACCTAGGAAGAAGCGGTAATAGGGAGCTTTTGAACTGTACTACTCGATTCTATGGAAACAATTACGCTATCTACTGCGAAGAAGTTGCGACAGTGAAAGGCGATCACAATGATCATCTGCGGTCGCCTGATTAGGACAGCGACGAAGGACCCGTAACTTTGCGAAAGAAACCTTGTGCGTTTGTGGGGATGTAGGGGCTCCGGCGTTAAAATAATTAGCCTTCAACTTCGTGACCCGCCCATGAGCCACAATTCTATGGTGGTGAAAGAAGAGTCCATAGCCTTCCTAAAGCTTGAGTGTCGAAGGAAGCTGCCCTTCCTCATGAAAAATACGTTTCGTATCATCACGACAGAGTGCCGTCTACGGAATTCAAGGGAAAGTATGAGAGGCCATGAGCTTTCAAATTAGTTCACCTACGACAGTGTAGTGTCCTATCGCGACAGTCATTTTGATTGGATGGCGCTTCAAATCAACAATGAAGACTCATAGAGGACAATTTCAAAGCAAGTCGTAGACGAGTTCAGAGTTTTGAGTACAGCTTTGGTATCATGTCCCACCGCACCGCCATGTTTACCTCATTAAAGGGCGTTCACCTCAAGAATTGGAGTGTAATCGTACGTGGACACAAAACGATTACCTATTGTTCTACAGTATTCCTTCAACAATGCCATTTCACCACCACTTCGAAAGCATTAGTAGAATGTATCGATCGCAGTAGCATTCGCTACACGGACCGTATCCCTCCGAAAGAGGGCTGAGGTCGGATGAGTCATTCGACCACCGTCTACCGCAAGTGCAAGGAGCTGCCGGAGATTTCGAAACACCATTTTGACTGTTCGGGGTAGATAGGCGGATATATTTGGTCAGCAGAGGTGAAAAATTTATTGGTTCACTGTTCCCCGGAATCCCAAAATGTGAGTTAGCTCCGTAGATGGCCAATATTGAGTCAAAAACGCTTTGCAAGCGTTTGGGACACATTTCATTAAAATGAACGAGCGCATGCATCAAGGAGTCGAACCTTGATGCCATGCCTACCAGTCCACCACGCTACCCGCTAGGCCAGCGTTGCACAGTTAAGGGCTTTGCTTGGCTCGTTGATCTGCTCAGTGCAGGGGTATAACACAGGGGAGGCATCGATCCCGTAACTTTGTTCCTGATTCATTTAGCCGATTTGGAACACAGATTTGAGATCAGCATTCGAAAACACCTACGAGGGTATACATCCCATCTTGAATGACCACTGCGACCAAGTATCCTTCACTTGTTAATCGATACGATAGCGGCTTCCTAACTTGACCGTCTCCGTTTCTGTTTTCGCGTTCTTAATCACACAAAATGCACACTTTCCGTTTTTTATCAACTCTCATTTCTCAATTCAAGGTAGTAGAACGACATTTCAACACTTACACACACCTTATTCAATTATTCCTCTGGGAAACTTCTCGAAGTACTAGATACGCCGCGCGTATGTGTCCGACTGCTGCACCCAAGAAAGAAAAAGGACCAGTTTGCGCGGCAGTTGTTCAGTTTTGCGCTCAATTTAGTTTTTGCAGTTTGTTCGCTGTGGGATTAGGCTACAAAGGATCTCTAACTTGAGCGATTCCTTGATTCCTTGCTGTTGATTCCTTGTCGATATGAGCAGATTGCCTTGGCATGAAAATGGATTCTCGGTGGATTTCAAGGAGAATTGCAGCGTTGGGTAATTCGCCCTCTTTAAGCAACGAGTGTGGTGGCTCTTAGGCATTTGCTACAATATGCACTAAGAATTTATACCCACGCCTCTAAATCAAGCGAGCTGGTGCGATGGCGTCACTCCCTTCGGGTTCAAGAATTCACGCTCCAACAGGTAAATGTGAAGCATAAATCTCTACTATACACTTTTCAGTACATGACTATTGGAGAATCCCCTAACCACAGACATTTCTTCTACCCGAAAATGATCAAACCACATTTTTCAAGGGTAAGTGAATCAAGCATGTTCATAGCTCTCAAACAAAATGCGGAGCTGAAATGTTGTGCCATACGTCACGATGAGATCTGGTATACTCGTGCACGATCCTGATTTTCCCCTCCCAGACCCCATCGATGCAAGATAGAAATAAGTTTAGCTTCTGTAATACAATTTTTGGGATTCTTAAAAAACGAAAAAGTGCTTTTAACATACCTTTGCGGCAAAGTTATGTTTCTATGAAAGCCGGATTGAATACGCTGCATTGAGCCAAATGCAAAAAAACACTCAGGAATCTATAAAAACTGAAAACAGCAAACTAAGAGAATTTCTTACCCCGGTATTCGACAAATGTCCTATCAAAATTATCCACAGCCGAAACGGGACTCTCCTTACCAGACCTGTACCATACATCCACTTTTATCGAGCAGTTTAAGAGTTTCCCAAAATGCAGACACGAAATGGCATTGATTTGTAGCGATGGTATGGTTTTTCTGCTCAGAAAGACAGCTCAGTTGATCACTAGAATTGAAAATTGTTTAAAGCACTTTGATCCCGAAGTTAAGAATAACTCTAGGAGCTAACCCCTTCTTTAGATAATTTTACACTGCGAGGAAGGAAGCTGGCNATTCATCGACACAAAGACGGACTGCTGTGGATCAATGTCAAAGCCCCAATCTCATGCAGAAAAGTGCTAGTGGACAATTGGAACCAAGTTGCTTCCAAATTGCTTTCCCCTTTCAGGTGTTGTCAGAAAAAGCATAATGAAAACCATTCCGTTATCTCGCTTTCGTTAGAACGTATCAAATTCTGCTGGTAGATGGAGGTGGCTAGGCCAATCAGACGTTAAGGTATCTAAAACAATCTTCCGAGTCAGTGTTGCATTTCGCACGTGCATTAGACAGGAGCACTTGCTTACGTTGATATGGAGCTGTACACAGGGTGGCGAAAAATTACGTGCACGCAAATTTTGACGCGATCACGCGGCTGCTTTGAACATCATAGTCAGCTTTTATGGATCATTTGCTTTCTCTACATCTTCGATGATCAGCTGTGTGAGAGAAAGCTGTCCTCAATACCATGGTGCAGGGCTGCACAAGTCGCGAGGAGATTGCACGCCTAGCCACAGCGGGATGAAGAACACTGCAATTTCGTGGAAGCTAAGAATACCTATGAGAACAGTTCAAGAGATTGTGAAGAGGACGGAAGCGGACTGTCAACACAAGGAGGATGCGTAATAGCATAAAGAAGAGGACTGATCGTAAGGATGATCAGAGCATGAACAAAATGGCGGAACAGCTCGGAATCCCCAGAAAATCGGTTCAAATGATGGTGAAAAATGAGCTTGGACTTCGAAGTTATCACTTATTGATTGGACAGGTTCTTACAGAAGAAGCAAAGCAAAGCCGAAAAGAAAATTCAAGAAACTACGCGAATTTTTCATGGGTGCGCTGAATTAAGGACGTTCTTTGGTCCAACGAAAAAGCGTTCACCGTGGAAGTGGATAAAACCTCTGAATCACCGTCAACTTCTTAGTTCAGCTCCTAAGAGCATCCGAAAGAGAAGAATTGCCACAAGAAGTTTGTTCCCCAAAAGTTTAATGGTTTGGAGCGTGTCAGTGCATCAGGTAAGACTCCGTTGATTATCATAGACAAAAATGTGAAAAAGTTGATGCGAAAAACTGCATAAAAGAAACCCTTCAAGAAGCTGTGTTATCCTGGAAGCGAAGTCATCTTAAGTTCATCTTCCCGCAAGACTGGACTCCGGCTCTTGCAGCGAGATCCACCTACTCGAGACCGAAATGGGCCCCTTCTGTCGTCTGTGGCCTTCTAATAACCAGATTTGAATCCCTTCGTCTTCGTTGTTTGGGGTAATATGGAAGAGGAACTAAGGAATAGGAACCTGAAAAGTTTGGTAGCTTTGCGAAAGGAGGTGTGCAAAATCTGGGACAGTTTGGAAATCGACTACCTTCGGCACCGTCAACTCGGTGAAAAGACGAATCGAAGCCTGTATCAAAGCAGAAGGCGTGCACTTTGTAAACTTGTTGTGATTATGTAATGTCATTGTTTGTTGTTTTTTGAATTTGTATTTCTTTCCAAGTTGATATTCAAATAATAAACTTTGAGCGTTTTTTATGACGCACGTCTTTTCGCCACCCTGTATATTTCGTTCACGCTCTGTTTATTGCCTAAAAACTAGCCACTTCTGTAGGGGTAGGCCGGTTAAAGGTGATGGTGCGGTTGAATTGGAATAAGGGTATGAAGATGTGCTAAACAATAAGCTGAAGATTATACCATTGTCGTACTATATATAATCGGCTAGTTTGTCTGTTGATTTGTTTGTGTGTTGTGTATGTGAATGTGAGTGAGAGTGTGTCTGGGGTGTGTGAGAATTTGTACGATCACACTTAATTGAGTTCCGCCCGCACCTAGGCGCGACCTTAATTAGGTTGGAAGAGTCCATGGCAATTATGCTGTTTGCACATCGTTACTACCGAGTTGAAACTTATTAATAAAACCATCAACCAATCAATAATGACAGTTAAAAAGCGGAGCTTCTCTTCTATTCTGCAAGATTGCGGTTCGGGAAAAAGGCGGTTCAATTTGTTTGTATTTTTTCTGGAATTTCCACTCACCTGTGATGTCATACGACCTATACAGAGACAAAATAACTGTTTATAGTTAGGGCTGTTTTTCATTAAGAGGTCATTGAAGGCAATTCAGCTCACCATTTAGGCCATTTAACAGTTTTTTACGGTAGGCTAAATTTAGCACCTTAAAGAGAGGCCATCAGGATTTAACACGTTGGCGACCATGTGTCCCGATGCCAGAAGCACGTTTTTGGCTCGCTAGGATATTTATGTTATGTATCAGGTATTCCTATAATTTCTTCATGTTTTCATGTATCATCTGAGCTCACTGCCTTCTAGAGAATCTTGAAGCACTGTGGTCCAGGATTCATTCATTTCTAACTACAGATATGAGAGAAAATAAAGGTTGATGTAAGGGAAATATAAAAGCGCGGTCGAGAGTGGGTTAATAACTATATGGGTGAGTGCTTCGTATGGCACTGCCTACTTGATAAAACATCGCTATGTATTGACTTGATGTTTTGTTAACTGCTGTTTTACCGCCGCAGTACGCGAAGCGAAAGTCTCACAAGGATGGCGATTTGTGGGCAAAACTCCAGTCTCGGACGGGACTCGAACCCGTACTTGTCCTTTCCGGGGACCGTGCTCTTATCCCTTACACTACCGAGACCCCGCTTGCCCTCGCCTTCTTAATGGCTTATATGCCATAGCTTATCAGCACTCACACGTACAACGTGTTGAGTCGGTTGGCCAATATCAGCACAGAACCGTTAAGCTGTAAGCTTTACATGTTAGTACTTGTTTTGACTTGATGTTTTGTTAACTGCTGTTTTACCGCCGCAGTACGCGAAGCGAAAGTCTCACAAGGATGGCGATTTGTGGGCAAAACTCCAGTCTCGGACGGGACTCGAACCCGCACTTGTCCTTTCCGGGGACCGTGCTCTTATCCCTTACACTACCGAGACCCCGCTTGCCCTCGCCTTCTTAATGGCTTATATGCCATAGCTTATCATTCCTACCCGATTTTTCTCAACGTACGAAAGATAGGTCAAATCTCTCAGCAACTCATTATCCGTCTTAAGTGGGACCTCGTGGTATCAACTGGAGTCATCAGTTAAAGTCATCAAAGTCAATTCGACCAGGACTATCAGCTGTTGAGAGTTTTATTCAAAATTCTGTGCTGATATTGGCCAACCGACTCAACACGTTGTACGTGTGAGTGCTGATAAGCTATGGCATATAAGCCATTAAGAAGGCGAGGGCAAGCGGGGTCTCGGTAGTGTAAGGGATAAGAGCACGGTCCCCGGAAAGGACAAGTGCGGGTTCGAGTCCCGTCCGAGACTGGAGTTTTGCCCACAAATCGCCATCCTTGTGAGACCATCGCTATGTATTCTAGAGACGCAGTCTACAGCTTCAAAGAGTTATAGGGTGCACCCTACTCCACACTATTTACTTTGGAGTGCATGCCCATTTCCTCCACTGTCCGATCTCTACATTCCTGTACCAGAAGCCATAGCACCCGAACGCTTTTTTTCGAAAATTGTGCATCTAAGCGGCCTCCCTTGATGGAACTGCACCTAAAAGTCACGTAGGAATCAAAACATTCTGCACCCACACTTCCTTTCAAGTCGGTTAAGCCGCAGCTTCATTTTCCACTAGAAGTCACTATTGACTCTACTGAGTCGCGAATAGAGTGATTTATGGGAGAGGGGAGGCATGTAAACAATTTTATGCACGGGAATAAGACCTTCGCAAACCAGTAATGATGGAATTTCCCCTTTCAAAATTGCCCCATTTCCTACAGAAACACCACTTTTTCATTGTCATTATTCTCATTACTTGATATGTCTCAACTCAGTTAGCAACAGTGTGCAGGTAACGGCACACCTAAACAAGGACATTAACACCTGAACAAAGCCTAAACGAGGTTCTCTGACAAGGACAAAAATTCAAACAAATTAAACAGCCTTTTCCCCAACCACAACTTTGCAGAATACAATAGAAACTTCGCTTCTTAACTGTCATTATTGCGTGGTTGATGATTTAATTAATGAGTTTTAACTCGGTAGTAACGATGTGCAAACAGCGTAATTGTAACGGACCTTTCGGACCTGGTTGAGGTCACTTCGCGCCTCGGTGCAAGGGGAGTTTAATTTGGCGCCATCGTGCAAATGTTTCCACACCCGTGAGTGTGTGTGTGCGTGTTTGTATGAGTGTGTGTGTGTGTGT